AATCAATGTTTGATGTACTTTAGCAATCGGTGTATGCTGAATTTACTGAATTATCGAAGGACGTCACTTTGCTTTTTAATTTAAATCAGAAAAATTATTGTGTATGGGAGAAACAGTTTCTCAGTATGTTGACTTTTAATACAAAATTTATATATATATATATATATATATATATATATATATAAAGTAAACATGTACATGGCGTGCGCGATTTTAATCATACTGCCAGAAAAACATGTAGTTCTTTGAGATTTCAAAAATTACTCCGAAACACATTTAAATATTTAAAGACGTGTGTTTACTCTGATTAGTAGTAGATGGGGAAGGGATGTAAAATTATGTTTGAAGATAGTTTATTTATACAGATATTATTTGAATATAATTAAAAATGTAACCTAAAAATATAAAATTTTTATATATAGTATTTTATTAAAAAAAATTGCAACGTTGTAAAAAATTGATCTTACATATTACCATAAAAGCGCGTTGAATTATAAACGGATTCTATTGTTAAAAAGTAATAAAATAAACTTATTAGATTAAAATTTCTGATTGTTTTACAAATTCGAGATTGTGTCACAAATGTCATGACACGTGGTTCTTTTGTTTTTCTACTGAAAAGACAACTCAGTCATGGCCAAACGGTGTTGCCACATCACTTCCTGTAAGAATTTATCAAAAATAAGCTTACTGAAAATGTATAAAATTGATAGTTTCACTGATTCAGAAATTTCATGATATGTTTTTACTGTAAAGCCAACTTTTAAGTCTTAGCCAACTTTTGTTGCCACAGCATAATATATTTTGCTCTCAATTTGATAATTATTATATATTGAAATCACTAAGTTTATGATAGACAAATATAGCAATTATAAATAATATTATAACCAAAATGATTTTTTTGATTTCACTTGGAGATGAGTGTGCTATCAGCTGTTTGTCATCATACATAATAACCTTCTGTTTTTCTCGAGATGGCAACACAGTGGTCAACCGCTCTTCTTTTTTATGCGTAGATTGAATATTAGATATGTATACTTAATAGTTCTAACATGTATGTGTTGCAGCAATGCCCACAAAAGGCAAGCATATTTGAAACTTATAACCGCAAGTGGAAATTTAATATCATACTGCATGATATCTTCACCATTGTAGCACGATAAAGATAAAATAATTTGTAAAATACATCAAACACTTTCATCTTTTGAACGTAGCTTTACGTACTTAAATACATAACAATATAATTCTGCATTCGCGAAATCACAATAACATATCACGAATTTTATATTATTGAAACAAACAACTGCAAAATATTTAATCACTAATTTGTAAATTATTATTTTTGTTCTTCACCAGCGATATTTTTTATATATATGACGCGCTATGCTCTTGTAATTATACTTGACTATGTATTTTTATTTCTGATTATATAAACAAGTTCTTTTAAAGTAAAGAAAATGCAAATTGTCTTCTGAATAGTATGCTAATTAATTTCTTTTTATAATTCGCGCAAGCAAATGCGATTATAGCGAATTATTTTTAATCGTATTCGAGTATATTTGTATATTAATTTAACTTATAAATATTCTGCAGTTTGCTTTTCCATTTAGCATACCTTATTAAGGGAAGCGTGAATGGTGTACAGAGTAGGTTATTAGGAAGAATGGCTCGCTTCATTGCGAGGTAACATTTTAATACAAGTTAAAACATTTGTATTATTCATAAAAATAAGACAATTCTGCCGCATATAATTCCAAAAGAACAAACGGTTTTGATTAAATATTCATGTTTAATTTATATTCAGAATTCTAATTATTGGATTCGGTACTTCGTTAAGTTTCGAATACCGACGGGGAATGCATTTTGTTTTTATAAATTTTCTCTATAACGTAGTTATTTCAGTTTTGCAAACCTTGCTTGAGGAATTTTATGCGACCTAGTTTATATGTAGATAATGGTTGTAAATGTTCTACATATTAACTTCTCACAAATTAATAAACAAATCAAAATTAGTTCAATGATATATGCAAAAATTCATATGGTCTAGTCAAATAGTTAATACAATGCATCAAAAATGATTATAAAAATATTACATTAATACATTTTTAAATAAACGTGGCATTTCAGCATATTTTTGGAACTATACGTTCAAGCGCAGCGACATTTATGATTTAATTATGAAAAAATAAATGATCAAAAATTTGCGATAATAACTTGCAAAAATTTCTCAAATTTTACTTTATTGTAAAAAACATTTACGTGTTATATCAAAACTAAAATAATATGAAATAGATACATTTTCTATTTAAAATGAAAATTATGGGTTAATTCTGCTGTAAAATAGACAAATGTTGTGGCGAGGATGTTCATACAAAGTGGTAGTAAAAAATGCCAAAACGCTATGTAGTTGCTATGCAGTCAGTTGTATTCGATAGAAAATCTGACCCAGAAAATGCGTGAACGCCAAAAAAGAATTTTATCAAAAGTGCATCTTTTTGATGTGGCATAATAACACACGAGTGAAGTTACATAGTATGTGTAAAACGATTAGCTGCACTGCAAATATATAGCGTTTTGACAGTTATTAGTACCAATTTATATGAGGAGCGCTGCGTAACACAGCCTTGCCATAACATTGGTCTATTTTACGACAGAATCGCAATCTTAGTCTTGAATATACGGTTCGAAACATGCTCATGCTTTTACGTATCTTTGTTAACTTATTTAGGCTACGCTCGACTACCTTTATGAAATCTTTAAATCTGCTATGCATACTTACTTTCGCCGACATAATAGCTGATGTGAAATAAAATTAATTATGTTGACGGAGTTGTTGTTCAAACATGGTAATTGAGTTTACAATTCGTTAATATTGTGTTGATTAGTAGAATCGTCATTCATTCAATGTAATTCCCGTCCTTTCAAATGTGCACAAATTAATCTAAATATACTGAATTATGCTTAATTCCACATGTGCTTGTCAATATGGAAATAATATTTGTAATGCTCGTTCTAAAACAATTATGTTTCTGCATGCTGCCTCATTACAGCTCTATGCGTTCAAATATTTACATGTGGATATATATATATATATATATATATATATATATACATATATATATATATTGAAATTGAATATATTTCATAGCCTTTTTTATAGGGGAGCTAAGGGCTGTACAGGGGTAAGTAGTAACAGACGTTTTTTAATAGAATCTTGAACGATATTCAAATATTTTTATATCTTGATTGAACAAAAATTAGTGAGCTACTGTATCGCAGATCGACGCAGTATACGAAAGTGCGCAACTAATATAAAATTTCGGTTTGTGTTATTATTATCGACTAATTTCGAATTTTATATATCTCATTTTGGTTCAAATGTATTAATCTTTGCTAAATTTTTTAAATCATTATCTTGCTTAATGTAAAAAAAATATACATGGGGTTAGTTGCAACAAATCCTTGCGGCTAGTTGTAATGTGCAAAAATGGTATTATCTGGTATGTGTAAAATTGATGAAATATATTCAATTTTTTCTATGATAAACATTGTAGTTTACGTTGATTTATGATGAAAAAAATTATTACAAGACACACTATATATTTAAATTATGTATTAATTATAGTTAACGTAGACTAAATAAAATAATTACCTAAAAAAAGTTGTTTTTTTAGAAATAAGTAAAGAATAAATTGTCACAGACATATTTGGCGTTTTTTGACGTTACTACTAGCCTCAAACAGGGGGTAAGTTAAAACACTGCACTTTTGTTAGAAAATGATTAATTGTAAAATAATAAGCAATAGTTATAAAATTTGTTTTATTAAATTCGATAGAATAATAGAAATATAGTCAGTGGAGCTCAAGATACATTAATTAGAAACAAAACTGTTACCACAAGCCCCTAGCACCCTTATAGTTTTTTTCCATATGAATTACACACCGGGTAATTCCAGATAAATTCTAAGTAAATGTTTTTTTATTTTTAGCAGATCGCTATTAGAAAATTACCCAAAAATTGCTATTTGCAAATATGATTATATTTTTTAATTAGTATTTTTACTTAACTTGTTTGGCAACAAAGGTTTTACCATCAAGCCACAAAAACCCCATATATAATATTTAATACTTTATGACCCTTTTTCTGTAGTGTTACTATTTTATGAATTTTTGAGTAAAGTATTTGTTTATTTTAACTTTAATCACGATATTTTACTTTAATACAAGTTATAGTCGTAAGCTAATCTACGTCCAAAAATATTGTTTGAATATCTTAAGCTTCCAATTAAGAATAAATTTCTTACATTAATTAATTGAAATAACTTGTTCAAAAGATTGATCTATGATTTATGAACTATAGCATTTTCATAACATAAATACAATAAATTGAAATAAAAAACAAAAGTTTGCATTTTATATAATATTTAATTTAAAAAATTTCTCTTTTTTCTTTATTATATTATTTATGACAACAAAACCTTCAAAACTATGATAGAATATACAATTATGGGATGTGGCTTGATTGAATTTTATAATGAAATTAAATTAAGAATATGCTGTTAGGTATTTTTGCAATATTTTTGATTTTAGACATTTCGTAGACAAAATGATGTGTTGTAAAACTTAAAATATGGAAATAAGCTTATCGTTTTATATATATATATATATATATATATATATATATATATATATACATAATGTGTTCGCTTTCATTTAATTATATCCGAATATATATCATCCCAATACACTATCACTAGTTTAAACTTTTTATCAATAAAAACCACTAACGCATCAAAGCGATTTTGCTACATTTTATTTTGATTACATTAAATTATGTTTAATTTTCATTACGTTTTTTTTCTATATTTCATTTTGTTTACATTCGATTATATTGAAAAAAAGTGCTCTATTACCATGTTTGAACAAAGTTTTTTTTATTAATATAAAATTTTACGTAAAAACGAATATTTTATTGAACGTGCACAACTACAAATTCATACCTGTTGTACATGAGAACATCTGGTTTCCATAGTTTGTTGGGTGTTATCCTTAAATCTTTGACGCCGCCGTATTCAGAATCGTTCCATCTCAAGTTGTAGTCGTTCCATTCCTGTGAATAGTCAGCGAATACAATTAGTATTATATAAAAATAACGTAGAAACTATTTGATATGAAAAATTACTTTGATATCGAAAACTGTTAATTAACCCTTTGCACTCGAAATAAACTTGGAGATGACTATCGTACTACTCGGAATTTCAAAATTTCTGTCGATACTGTATCAAGAACACGTGACACGCAAGTTTTGGATATACATTTAGCAATTGTTTTGTGTACTTTAAATATACTTCAATTTTATATTAGTCCAGTCCTTAGAGTGAGTTCACCTCGGAATTCGAGATACCCAGTTGTAAGTCTGTAAATACTGTATATTGACACCCTAAAAGTTATCTCAAATAAGTTGTCTCAAAACCTACATATGGTAGGGTATACGTACCATATGTAGGTTTTGAGACAACTTCTAGGGTGTCAATGTACAGTATTTAAAGGCTTACTGCTATGTATCTTAATTCCGAGACTCTTACCTAATTTAAGCTTGAATGACGGGACTATATATTTTTGTATAAAAGATATATTTTATAATTACTGTATGCTATATGAATGCATATATCGGTGGCTGAGAGTAGACAAACGAGGGCAAAGAGTTATTATCACTGTCGAATGCATATGAAATAAATTGGTAATTGAATTTATTTGCTTATGCATAAATAAATCTTTAAATTATTTAAACCATTTAAATTTTTATATGATTGCGCTTCCAAACAATTTTCGGTATTCAATAATATCACATTTGTATCCAATGGTCTTGAAACTATCATACCTCATTGAACAGTATTTCAATAAATACATAAAGAATTTTTATATTTCAATTCCTAGAATTTGCAAATGTTTTAAAAACATATTTATATGCAATTTCAGTTCCCAGAAATTACAAATGATTCGAACGATTTATATTCAATTCTAATTCCGAGAATTTACAAATGATTTTAAAACACGTTTTGATAACTGATTTGTTTCCAATTGAATACATCTGTGATCATAGCATGGTCTTGGGCTTTGATCAGAAAATTCAATTCAATAAATTTTGCAATGTGTGTAATTAATAGCAAAACTGTGTACAGCTTAGAGCTGTTATCGATGTGCAGTCAGCTGTATTTGTTTCAAAGATATATATGGAAATACAATATAGTATAATATATATATATATATATATATATATATATATATATATTTACAACCAGCTGTTCAAAATTATGATAGTCAATTATCATAAACCGATCAATAGTTTATCGAAACAATTAGAGAATAAAATGAGAGCTGCAAAATCGCCAAATATATTTATTATTCAGGCATATATTCTTATAGTCGTTGCAGATTTAAATTTTCTGATCTTTTATTACACTAATCTTATATCATATATTTATAGAATAATTATAAATTAACGATCAAATGGTGCACTAAGAATTAAGCTAGATTTATTACAATAGAGCCTATTTTTCATACGTCTACTTCCAAATCCATCCAGATTTAATGCATTTTTCAAAAACGAGAAAGTTTGTTTGAAGCTTTTCATGCAATTATATATAACAAAAATTAAACGAAAATAATTTTAAAATAACTGAAATAATTTAATTTGTATTTTTTGAGATTATATTACATTGCAAATAAATTAATTCAGGTGTATGTTAATGTTTGAACTGATTTCGACATATTGTTGGAGTATTTAGTCCAACGCCAGTATTTAGATACTAATTGTTATTATAATTAAATTTGTATTTAGCATGTATTTAATTACTTTGTCTGTTTTAATTAATATCACACAAATTTGCAATTTAATATTTTGACACTATAAAAAATATTTTGGGCCATACAACACTATTAAAGTGTTATGTTTATGGTGAACAAATTTATTTTGATTATAATCAAAATGCCTTTAATTATTAATAACTATTCTTATTCGTAAAAATAGAATCCTAATAAGTAAGAATACTTTCCGCATTTACGTCGTTAAATGCAAAAGGTCCTTGTGAATATTCAGATAAAACAATTAATTTTTAATATACTTTTAAAAAGTACCTTAGTAGTCTTATAGACACTTTTTGTCTGCATGGAAATACTTTTTCTTATAAAATATTAGTGATAAATTTATTATATCTTAAGAAGGGTGTAAACTTAACCCTGAACCTTTATTTTTGAGATGAAATAAAATCAAATAATAATTGATGTATATCATTAAATTTTTGGAAAAACAAATTTTACCAGAAAGTAATTGTAATTGTAGATCATATATAATATATTGTAAGGTAAAATTTCAATGCTTCAATGTACTTTCTTATTTTTAATGTTTCACAACAATACTACACATATATCTACACACTCTAATTACGATACAATTGCAACAAAGAAATTTCTAAATATCAACTTCTATACAACAATCTAATTACAAACATGCAACTAAAATTAAATCAATTCTTTACCCATTTTATAAATATAGCATTTTAAATATTTACAATATATTTTAAATATTGTTTACTGCTGCCAGGAAAAGTATTTAATCTGTATGTTTTAAAAATATTGTATTATATTCAGTTTTATCTGATTCTAAGATGTCCCGAATGTTATTTAATTATTTATGGTTTACACACACGGCATAAATTAAATAAAATGCAATAAAACTATGAAATTCATTAAAAAAATTCTATAATTATTTAAAAAATATGAAAAAATATGTCAGATTGATCGTATCGAAAAGATATTGCATATTTCAGTGTATAAGAAAAAGCCAATTAAGAATCTTAGTAACGTTTTCTATATTTGTTTTCAAAGCTATTGTTTGGGTATATGAAACAATATTAACTAGATCAAAACTACGGACTTTCACAAATTAACTACAGAGTTATTCAATTTAATTTAAAAGACCAATGATTATTCTACTCAGACATACAAATTAATAGAAATACACTATCAGTGACATAGTAGAAGTGTTGAGAATAGTAAACCGATTCTAGTATATTAAATTTTGAAAATTTGCAAAAACAAATATAATACACCAAAATAGCAACATAATACATCGTGACGTAAATTTTGAGGAATAAATAATCAAAACTATCTAACCAATCAAATTTAAATAAAATCTAAAATTATTTCAAATTTACTTCAGAACAATACAATGAAAAAAAACTCAAACTACACATACGCACAAATTTAAAATTTCAAATATATAAAATATGACTGGTGAATACAGTTCTTAGGTTTTGTATAAATTTTGTAATATAAATAATAAGTAGGTAAAATGAAATAATGAGCTATTTGTCAGTAAATATTTTATGAACAAATATTTATCTAGTAAATACTAAAATTGGTTTAAGGATGTATAGTAATGTCAGCCATTAACACAACCAAAAAATCTTTTAGAACTTGAGCCTTACCTACAATTTATCTTAAACAATATTTAGCAACATATCAAAAATTGCAAATGCCAATTGCTTTTCAAGTTAAAGCAATGCATTTTTCATAATTCTTAAAATGTTGATTGAAAATGTTTAGGATAAATCAGTCGTGTGCTTCGAACTAACAAATATTTGGTTGTGTTAATGTTGCTGCTATAAAAAACACTGTTGATGCTAAATAAGATCTGTAAATTTGATTATTTCAGAAGTTCCATTGCATCACATGACCTACAAATATCTAATATAATGCTGAAATATAAAACTTCTACTTAAGGCACTATGCTGTTAGTTCTGAATTTAGAATTTAGAAAAGAGAAATGAAAAAAAAATGACAAAATACATTTGCAATATTATTAAAAAAAATATGGACAATGGTTATAAATATTAATTTTTTTTTACAATATAGGAGTTTTACTATGTTTTTTGAAATACATATACTAAATCTATTCCATAATAAAATTTTCAATTTTGGTTAAATTTTGGGACGATTTAATTGATGCTTCTTTTGCATCCTTTAAAATTTGGTTTGATATGCATCTTTTGCCTTGTTCTCCATAATATATTAAAAATATTTTAAAAATATTAACTATAAAGTTTTTTAAAATCAATAAATAAATATTGGAAATGAAACTGGTCATTAATAAATTTAATTATTTATTAAACAAATTTTAACTTAAAATGCATCTAAAAATGCAATAAATATTATTTATATATGACAGGGCTTCTTAAACTTTTTTATATAGCGACCCCCCTCAAGCTTAGGAAATTTTAAACGACCCCCTCCTCCAAATAATAAAATATATATTAACCGTTATCGCACTATTTTACAATGTAAATAAAATAAGAATTGAAGAATATGTACCCATTCATGTTATATATAATTGGAAACGTTGACATAAAACTATATATATATATATATATATATATATATATATATATATATAATAGAAAAAATAAACTTTTGTAACAAATTCTTTATAAGAAAACATAAAACTATATCTACATATTCAATAGAAAAAATAAACTTTTGTAACATTTTTTTTATTAAAATCTATTATTAACATCAAACAATATTAATGTGATGAATTTGTTGATGTGATTGTTTATTTTTACACAAATAATTAAATCTAGGCTCAATTTAAGTTAGTGCAGATCGTAATAAATTTTCAACGTTTATTAAAGTTATTGGAAACGTATTTTGATTTTATGTAAGTTAATGTAGAAAAGGCTGATTCACATAAATATGTTGCACAAAATGGCAGTAATTTGTTTATTGCCATTTCCGATAGTAGGGAATATTCTGATTTGAATTCAATCCAAAATTCATGCACAGACACTTGAAAAAATCTGAGTCGCAAGGTAGTATCACTTGTTAATTCTTATTATGCTTTTAAGTTTGAAAAATTAATTTCTTCCATTTCAGTTGAAAATGGATTGCAAATCTATTGTTGTGTATCGATATCATTGAGAAAATACCTATGCATGTAAACTTCCATATTCTTCAAATGATTAACTATAATTTTTGTTATGAGTATCTTTTTTTGAAATATTGTTACTAATTATATACTCGTCACTAAATGGAAACATTTCGAGCGATCCACTTTCTACTCTGTTTTTCCATATAAGAATTATTTTAACAAAGGCCTCAAGTTTATTTTTTAACATAAACATATTAACGCAGACTCCCTGCATTGATAAATTCATATCATTGATTTTATCAAAAATATGGCCAAATAGCATAGCTTGAGAAGCCATAAATTATCGTGAAAATAGTCGGCCTAATAATACTAATTTTAAAATTTTGTTTATAATGATTGAAAAGTATCAGATCTTTGCGACCCCTTTTTAGTAGTCTCGCGACCCCCCTGGGGGTCGCGACCCCCACTTTAAGAAGCCCTGATATATGATACAATTAGTATGAAATAAACTTTGTACGCATTTTCATAAACTAGATAACTTGCCAATGGGTAGTTTTCTAAAAACATTTGCTTTGTTGTGTCTCAGATTAATTACTGAATGACTTTTAATTATAAGACAGATTGTAATTTAAATATGAATAAAAAAATCTCATATAATTTATTATATTATTTCTTTATGATCAACTCAGGTTAAGTAAGTAAAAGTATTAATTTCAATTTTTTTGTTCGTTTGTTGTTAAACAAACGCAAATTACTTAAATAATAAAAGTTTTATATAATCGCATCATACTAAATATTTTAGGTCATATGATACCAAAAATGTATAATAATATCAATTATGTTATTCTATTTGTAGGGCGAAAGTTGTTCTCAAAATTACTCTAGATTGCAAATAAAATATTAGCTAGTATTACCAAAAATAAATAGTTGAAAATAAAAAAACGTCATATCATATACAAAATCTACCCAAGATTTATAATACTAAACTAAATTACTTTTATCAAAGAGGAAACGAGCCTAAAAATAAATACTGCCGTGTGTGATGATTTAATGTATTGTATTAACGAAGATCAAAATAATTATGAGCCTGAATTCAACCAACTCAATATAATTAGAGTAAAACTTCTATCTACATAATATTATATAAAAGTATTCAGGCTTATAAGATGTTGATCTGCGATCATGTTTACATTCAACTTTCATTTACACTTACCAACGAAAGCCAAATATTTGTTATAAGAAGCTGGTTCTTCTCGTCCTGTTTTTTGTTGTCCATCATAGACACAATTAAAAAAAGGAAAAGTACATATCAGCTTTCATTCGTCAAATAATTTTACTGTCAAATTTAGAGATGAATAGATTTTTTGTGTAATCTTCACGACATGCAATTAGAATTATAATAAAAATATCTGACGATTTTATTCGGTGAGGTATGTTAGACCCTCGATTCGGAGCATATGATGGTGGTTCTAAAATGGACTAGTACGAACTTACATGTAATTGATACTTGCAGAAAATACAATTTGAATAGATTGTAGATATTTGATATAAAATCAGTTCTCATTGATTTTACAATGCTCTGTAAAAGTCTTAAACAAATTGAAATTACACTTGTTCATCATTGGTTCATTCATCAATATGCTGCACGTCGGTTCAAATTATTTATTTAATTTTAGTACAATAATATTTTAATACCAACACATAAATTGAAAAAAATAGTTAAGTTTGATCAACTATAAATATAAAACTTGAAAAATTATAGAAGACAAACATAGCCAAGGAAGAAAACGATGTCTATCTTTCTCTGAGTCTTGTCAACAATGTATGAATCTATTCAGATCTGCTTCTAATTACTATCCCCTGTGTAAGTTCATACTAGCCATATTATACTTCACCCATATCATATGCCATTTATTTGCAAATGCAGCTCTTTTGCGACATGTACCCTTTTCCTTTTTCACAGTTTTCCATCGAACAAAATAATATACACGCAATATCTGTCCCACAGCCAACGAAAAACAAGGCACATCGATGCAGGGCAATGCTAATATATAGTATCATGATACAATTCCTTATATTGTTTGCTAGTTCTGTAAGTCGTGTTCTCAATATTATAATTTACATAGATTCATATAATGTTAAATGTTTGCTATACTTTAAGATGTATGATTCTGAAAAATGCAACAATTCCGTGAGTTTTTGTGAAATGGAGTGAAATATTGAGTAAGACATTATCTGAATTACTCTGATATGTCTGTAAGATAATATCAGATTTACTCTTCGAATAGTGTCGAATTATGATTTATAATTCTACTATTTAATTAGTTATCTAAAGTCAGTATTCTATTCTAGTCAATATAAATGCAATTTCATATGTATATGTATTAGGGTGGTACTTAATATGGATATGTTCGAATTTCTGTGCTCCCAGAGGCTCAAATGCTTCCAATTTAAGAAAATTCTCTGAAATCTTTAAATTCTAATATTGACTTTAAGATAGTCCGCACTCTAACTAAAGTTTCTTGGTTCTTCTTCCTAAGTAAATACTTATTTTATAAAATCAAATTTTTGTCGTATTTTTTTATTCATGACCAAAATAAACATACACAATGTTATTCTGAAAATTTTGAATTACTTGTCGCCAAGTTACAAAATTCTAAAAATCAATTGTCACCCCTGTTATTTCCATAATAAACTTTGATTGGAGTGCGGACCATCTTAAAGTTAATATTAGGAACTAAAGTCTTCTGATATTTTTTTATCAATTTGGAAGCATTCGAGTCCCTGGGAGCAAGGAAATTCGAAAACGTTCTTATTATGGACTACCCATATATATAGACAATATACACTTAAATGAGTTTGGATATTATTTTATCTAATTGATCAACTCCATAATTTAACTAACAGCTCGAGTACTAAATTATTTAGATTTTTAACTTCTTTAATCAATTATAAAACTAAATTGAGTAGAGTTAAAATATTGATACATCATTTATGCAGATGGTATTCTATATTCACATGGTATTTTTAATAACTAGTATGAAGATAATTAGTTCAGTTCAAAATGTATCTAGTATCTTTCGATAGTTGTTCATTATTAATCTAGTTTTTATTAGAATTATCTAAATAAATTTCTTGCAGAATAGTGATGATAAAACTCTGTGCGTTAACAAACATACGGTGTATTAGAAAATTTAAATATTTTCTAGATGTAAAAATGATTGAATATTTGAATTGTGCAATATACAGAAGACACAATTTTTATTTAGTTTATCAAATTGATAAAAACCAATATTTTCTGAAAGTTTATTACTACAATATCTTTAAAATAACCAGTGATGAATTATATAATTATAAGATCAGACGTTGCATCAATAAATATTTTATGACAGGTTTATGATAGGTTTTATTAAATATCATTATTTTAGTTTAATTATTAGAGTTGTTTTCTAATAAATGAAGGATGTTAATCGATACGTATGGATATTATATTAAATCGACTTATAACTAAAATATTTGTAAATTCATTGATGTAACGCTCAATCTTTAATAAATTCATAATAATTTAATAATATTTATATATACGTATATATATATATATTAGGGTGGTCCCTAATATGGACATTGAAATTTTTTTTTTATCAATTTGGAAGTATTTCAGCCCCGGGAGCAAGGAAATTCGAAAATGTTCATATTAAGGACCACCCTATATATATATATATATATATATATATATATATATATATATAATTTATGAAGTAATTTCAGAGTTTGTTTATTATTTTCAGATATGATCATGCATTTAAATAATAATGATATTTTCAGTTTTTCATTTTCTTAATTCTTTTTTTACATTTCAACGGCGATCATAACGAGTATTCTATAGGTATTTTTGCTCAACATCTTTATCTAAATATTTTTCGTGAAAGCCAGCGTTTAATAACTCGGCTTTTACATGGAGATTATATTAGATATGCATAACCAATTAACTAATTATAAAAATAAAACACATTTTCTTAAGATCATATACGGAATCTGTAACCTTCAGTACATATCTGATATCATATTGCTTGATATTACGCTGGCCGAGGTTGGTTGCATGTACATTGCAACTAATGTGTCCCCGTTCTGAGCCACTACCTCACGATTGCATCTCAAGTTAAACAACTATGTCTAATTCTTGAACTTAGATTAATGTTAAACACTAACAATAATCCATTAGTCATATTGGTCCGTCACATGCAATATGTGAACCGAAGATTGAGGAAGTCGTTTTGACCGATGTGACCGATGTGACCGATTTTTGTATTAAGTTTCCATTCACGTCATTGCATTTATCTTCGTCTGGTTGGCGTTACATGGCAAACTCGGATGATCGATGTCCATATATTAACATAATATTATTATTGTTTTGCATTGTGTCGCAGTTTAGAAGCACAAATCACGCAATTCGGTATTCGGTTTCCATTGTGCAATATAATAATAATACATATCACGATAAACTCATTTATTATTCAAGCCACACTGAATGACAAATCGCCCCAATTAGCTTACTTAAAATTGAAAATAAATATTATGCTATCATAATGGCACCATACATTTATGTTGATGAAAATCCATTGAAAACCATAAATATGAAAATCGAAAACAACGATATGGCTTTGATTGTGCGTAAATGAAGTAACCCGAACTAGAAACAATGTGTGGAAACTATTTTTAATTATTGCTTAATTAATTTAATAAGGTTGTGATCAGTACTGAGTTGCAAAATGAACCTTATAACATCAAATCAACCTTATATAATTATAACACCAGATACAAGGTATGTAAAGTCACCTAGCTCTTTCTACTTATTCTATAAAATTTTATGAATAATGACGATTTTTTATAACTTATTTTTTCATTTTTTAAACAGCAATCATAACTTAAGCGTTCTAAAAACTGTTCGGCCAATTTGACTTAATACTAGTCGGTTCTACATATGGCAACCCAAATAGTTGTCCTTTGAATTAATATAACAATTTCTGTAATGGGACAAATGTCTTATTGATGCAGCAATGCCGATTCAGGGCTCGGAAGCATATTTCTATCTATATATCAAAGCGAAAACCGTTGTCACTACTACTTGACATCAGGTTTCTCGAAACGAAATTGAACCTGGGACATCTGATTCAGGCCCAGTCGTTTTAACCACTAACTTACGAGCGAGTTCAATTTTTTTTTCTTTCATAACTAAACCTTGAATTATGTGTGTCTTACATACTAATAATTTAAAAAAAGCTCTTTCTATTGAGATGTCAATAGAATTGTTTGCCTTAATCAACACTGGTGCAACCTCAAAGCAAAAATAAATTATTGACATATTAGTTGGCAATTTATCTGGAGGTAAAGTATTTAACTTCGCAAAGACCAATTGCAGTGTACTACAAAATGAAGCTTTTCTTGCTATGAGTCTACAGTTGATATAATGTTAACATTGATTTAGTATTAGCTTGAAAATTAGTTTATCTCCATAATTTTATTAAAGATAAAAAATAGTTTGTAAAGATACTTTGGTACAGCATGTAGTTTCTAAATGGATAATCATTGTCTCGTACAATTCTTGGCTTGCAATGCTAATGTAATGGTGTATTTAATTCTAGATATCACTGGCGTAATTCTGGTCAATGCAGATAATTGATGGTATCTGATTGTTTAAATAAATTACTGGAAGATTGTTGCTTACACTAAAGAGGAAATAGTTGAAGACGCAAATATGAATGTCCGACATTAATAACAGGTATGTTGCATGACTCTATCGTGAAAGTAATTTCAGTTGTATGAATATATTAACGGAAAAATGGAAAACACGAATTTGCAAATTAGAGTGTACGCCAATAATAAAGTAGCAAAACAGAGAGTGTTTTTGCGCTTTATATTGATCTACACTTTGGGAATATTTTTGTATCAATATGGGTATTTCGGGCTACGATTATTTTGTAAAGATCGATTGAAAACTAAGAGAAAATGGCGACACAAAACGAAATGGTTTAAATAGTTTGCATTCATTAAAATTTGAATATAGTACAATAAATTAAATAGTTTGCATTCATTCAAATTTGAATATAGTACAATTCGGGCCATCACATGTCACCGGCTAAGCTCGTCATGTTTTTCTCTCTCCCGAAAATGCGATAAAAATGATCGCTTGCGGCGCAGAAAAAGTATAGAAAAAGCGCATTTAACGGATTCCAGTTCGACAGCGACAGAACAGACTCGATAAAAAGGCGATAAACG